TAAGGCCCTATGGACCTGGCTCTGCTGACTCATTTATCATTTATTTATTTATTTATTTATTGGTACAAGGGATCTAGCTCGGGACCTTGCGCTAGCGAGGCAGGTGGCAGAACCACAGCTAAATCCCCAGCCCCCATCATTTATTTATTTTTGAGACAAATTGTTGCTAAGTGGCCCAGGCTGGCCTCAAACTTGTGATCCTCCTGCCTCAGCCTTTGGAGTAGGTGGGACTACAGGTGTGGGACACTTCACCTGGTGGTGCCTTCCGCTTTAATGACATCCTCACCTTGTCTGCACACTTTGCATGTGTCCTTACTGTTCCTTCCACCTGGTTGTGCTTTCTGCAGCACTGCCAGGGTCTGGCATTTTCTCCTTTTTCAGATCTCGGCTCAAAGGCCACCCCCTCAGGATCTCCCCGGTCATCCTCACAAGAGTGTTACCCATTTTTCTTTATTGCTTTCTACACATGAATGATCCCAAGCTGTAACTATCAGATTTATTTATTGGTTTACTTGCTTAATGTCCATCTCCCTTTCTGGAATGTAAATGTTATGAGGTATGTTAGTCAGCTCTCCACCATGGTGACAAAATACTGGAAATAATGCACTGAAAAAGAAAGAGTTATTTTGGATCATCGCTTCATAGATTTCACTCTATGGCCATCTGGTCCTATTGCTCTTGGGCCTGTGGTGGGGCAGAGCATCATGGTAGCAGCACATGGTAGAGGAAACTGCTTGCCTCATGGCAGCAGGGAGGGAGAGAGAGACAGAAGGGGGCCATGGTCCCCAAATCCCCTTCAAGGCCCCCAGTGACCAAGCTCCCTCCCTTGAGGCTCCACCTTGCAGTAGCACTACAGGCTGCTGACCAAGCCCTCAATGCACAGGCCATGGGCTGACACTTCCAAACCATAGCATGGCTGTGGGACTTGTCTGTGTCATTCATTATTCTTATTGCTAAGTTTTGCATGATGTAGAGGAAATAAAATTTCATGCTTTGTAATCAGCTTGCAAAATACAGAGTCTGTTTGTTGTGCTAACTCTGAACTTATGACTCCTCCTCTGGGAAGCCTTGGAGCCTGCTGGAGGAACCTTGGATATATATCCCCCTAGCACTTTACTGAAGAGTGATTTACCGAAACTTAGCCATTTTCAGTAAGCAGACTGGTGAGTTACGACAAACATATGCACCCATATAACCATCTCCCAACATTTCCTTCTGCCTTGGATTATTCTATTTGTGGTAGAATAGACTTGACATAAAAGTCACCTCCTCAGCTCTCTCAGAGTACAGTTGAGTGACATTCACACTATTGTGTTACCAACGCCCATGGTCCATCCACAGAATTCTTTTCATCTCGCAAAACTTAAACTCTGTAGCCTAAAAACAATAATAACTCCTCTTTCCTTCCTCCCTCAACCCCCTGGAAACCATCATTCTACTTTTTTGTCCCTAGGAATCTGACTTTGGACTTCTTTTTTCAAAACTAAAATGTACCATCTTGCCCATTTTTAAGTGTACAGTTCAGTGGTGTTAAGTAGTGGCTTATTAAGCTAATTAAGGCATTTAAGGTAATTTCTTATTAAGGTAATTAGTTATGAGTATGAAAAACCCCAGATAGGGTGGGAGATTTAGCTCAGTGGTACTGCACCTGCTTGGCAAGCCAAGGTCCTGAGTTCGATCCCCCAGTACTGCAAAAACAAACAAACAAACCAACCCAGATAACAGAGTGTAAACAAAATCGTCTGTGGCTCCTGCTGTGACAGCTCTATCATCACAAGAACCCTGGCTCCTGTCTCGTGCTTTGTTATTTGTAACACTCAACTCATAGTCCAAGATGGCTACTTCAGTTCCAGCCATCAGCTCCTCATTCCAGCTGGCATGAAAGTGAAAGGGAGAAAAAAGGCACATTTTTTCTGTCTTATAGAACCCTTCACAGAAATTACACATATCATTTTGTGCCTAATGCCCATGACAGAACTTAGCCAGATAGACACATCCCATTGCAAGGGGACTGAGAGATGTGGACTTCATTCTGGGCCACATATTTCAGTTCTAATTTGTGAGTCCCATTGCTGAGGAAGATGAGGAGGAGCCATATTGTGGAGCAACCAGTGGTATCTGTCACTGCTTTCCTGCCTTGTAGCCCTGATCCCTGTACTGAGTCAGTTCCTTTCTTCTTATGGACTCTGGACTCCTTTAGCCAAGGGCTGTGTCTTTTACCTCTTAGCATAGAGCCAGGTGCATTTAGGTGCTTAATGTTTGTTGTACAAATAAATGATTCCAGGCCAACCCAACCTTTTAAGAATTACTGAAGGGCCCAGGCATGGTGGCACATACCTGTAATCCCAGCTACTCTGGAGGCTGAGGCAGAAGGATTGCAAGTTCAAGGCCAGATTGGGCAACTTAACCAGACCCTGTCTCAAAATAACATAAAAAGAGCTGGGATTGTAGTTCGGTGATAGAGTGCTTGCCTAGCATGTGTGAGGCCTGGAGTTTGATACCCAGCAAAACACACACACCCCCCGAAGAATTACCAAAGGGAGGCCTGACGAGCATAATGACTAGAGTCACCTAGGGTTATCTAGTCCAGGTTCCCACTGAATTCAGGAAACTGCTCATTGCAAACCCAGTGGTTTCCTCCTGACCACACACACTGCAAGGCACTCACTGGGCACACCAGCTGTCACAACCCCTTCCTGGTGTGGACTGACAGGTGGTCTCCCTAGGACTCTGCTGTTTGGTCCACATGCCCTCTGTCCCCCATGCCCACTTCCACACCTCCTCCTGCCCCCAGTCTTCCCTTTGCCAGGCAGATGCCTCCTGTAAGTCTAGACTGGCAGTGTCTACACCCTGAGGGGTGGGGGAATTTCTGGGTCTGACAGTATCCTGAGCCTGAGCCCTGGGCAGGAAAGCTGCCCACCTTTGTTGAAAAGCCTTCCCAGATTGAATGGAGAAGAGCCAGCGACCCTCGTGCCTTTCCAGGACTCCAAGGGAATCCAATGTTCCATCACTAATAAATGAGGAAATGGTTGCTCTCAACTTGGGCTTTTTTTCCTTCACATGTGGGCACACATGCTAACACTGGAGATGGCTATCATGCTGTGGAGGCAGGAGCATGCATGTCACAGGTCCCCCCAGTGCCATGAGGATTTCTTGATTGGTCACTGAAAGTCCCCATGTGTCACACACAGAGATCCTCTTGTCCTTCCCAAGGGAGTCCCTAGATGTGATAGAGACCCTACCATGTTCTCCTGGGCAGCTGTGGTCTGTATCAGTGGATAACCAGGTCCAGAAATAGGGGTGTGGAGAGGGGCTGCTGCTGTACTGCAGCAAGTATTCCAGGCCTTGGGGTAGGGATTAGGGGTCTGAAGGGTGAGATGGAGAGGGTGAGGAGACAGATGGATGTGCGTGCGTGCGTGCGTGTGTGTGGTATGTGCACAGGGCAGGTCCCAGCCCTTTGTAAATGCCCAAGTCGCCACAGATGTCCCACAGCCTACTGCACACCTGTGGCCTGAGCGGTGAGGGGCCATGCTGTTGTGGCCTGCAGTGAAAGCCTGCGGCACTCACCATCCAGGCATGGTTTTTCTGAGTCAGTTTATTTTGTGACCCAATGGCCTGATCCCCTCTCCTTTCCTGCTTTCTGTAATCTGTGGACCTCTGCTGGCCTCTGTGGCTTCTCAGGCTAGCACACCCCCCTGGGGAAATTAGTATTGGCTCTCCTGAGCAGGAGAAGGGACCCCATTTTCCCAGCACCTGCCTGACAGCAAAGCCCACGCAGGCAGCATCACACAGGTGCCAGGCTCTCATACCAGGCTCTCAGTTGAGGCTTCACACCTGGTCTCCCTCTTCCTGCCCTAAGGGTGGTGCTCCTCACTCTACTCTGGTGGCAGCAGTGTTTGTTGTGACTTCCTTCCTTGACCAAGGGTCTTCTCACCAAAACTTCTTCCCTTGGCATGGTACTTGCAGCCCCAAGGAAGTGCTGAGCAAGGAGCCAGGTCTGAAAGGTATCCCTGCCCCTTGGGGAGCCCAGAGATGGCTGTGTCATGCTGAGTCCCATCAGCCCTGCTCTGCGATGGGCAGCTTCTCCTCGTGGTGGGCTTCTCCCGCCCTCTTTGGACATGGCCACTACAGGGGCCAGCATAAGGCCAAGGTGTCAGCAGAAGGCAGTAGGTAGAATGGGAGTGAGTGGCATTAAATTAGACCTGGGCCTTCAAGAAAAATGCTCAGAAAGAACCATCTATCTAGCGCTAAATACCAAATGAGTCAGCCTCCTCCCCCGCATTCCCTGGCAAAGCTGGGCAGGCTGGGTAGGGCTACCTCACTAACTGCAACTGGAACCGTGAATACCTACAGCCACTGTCGAACTTCAGTCCAAGGATAACTCTGATGCCTGTTCTCATTCAGGGGATGGAGTGTGTGTGTGTGACCTTGTTCCCTCTCCACTCCTAAGGGGACAATATTCACCCCCAGTCCTTTTTGTAGCCACCGCTCTTAGATTTAAGGATGGATGCCTGCCCTGCCACCTTGATGATATGGACATCTCCCACCGAACCCCTCTCCTGCGCTCCAGTGCCCTCTGAATAGTAGATGGGCTTGAGGGGCCTTTCTGAGGAACCACTGGAGCTGTGAAGCAGCAGTGGACTGCACGCTGACGCTTGTTCTTGGAAATGTGCTTGCACCTCCTGGAGCCAGGCCATGGGGCTCTGTTCACACCTAGGCAGGTGAGTGTCTACCGTTATAGCCAGGTGAGTCAGCAGAGAGGAGACTTTTATTTATTTGGGTAAATGGTCACGTTGGAGTCATCCTGAAAAGAAGCCCAGCAAGCAGTGGTATGTCCCTGGGGCTGGGGGCTGCAGAAAGTAGAAGGCAGAAGGCAAGGGTGGAGAAAGGGGTGGTGTCCCCCAGGGTCTTGCTGGGCCTCCTGCCCACAGAGACTCCCATTCAAGGGGAGAGGGCAGTCCGGGGACTGTGGAGAAGTGCAGCACAGATGGACATGAGGACAGACTCCAGAGGCTTGGTTTTATTGTGCAGTTTTCTTTTTCCTCAATGAGATGCCAGAAGCTGTGGTGGCACTACAAACAGTCACACAACAGGCAGAGCCACCGGGTGGGGAGCTGGGTGTTGGGAAAAGCCATCTCCCAAGGAGTGTGCCACCCTGGGGTGTCACTCCAGGGCCTGTCTCAGGTCCCCCGAGGTCTTCGAGGAGCTAGGCCTTCAGTGCAAGGGCTATCTGGGGGTTGGGGCCCAGCCTGCAGAGGTCAGCAGTGATAGGCGAGGAAGGAAGAGCCTCCCTTGGAAACTTGGTCCAAACTCTGTGGTATTCCAGATAACCCCTGTAGGGCAGAGCTCTTGGGAGCTTGGGACAGCTGGGGGCCATTGTCCTCCTCTATCACCCTCTCAACTGGTGGTGCAGCAGTGAAGGACAGCAGGCTCACGATTTCAGCTTCCTGAGGTGGGGAGAGCCATTGGACCCTCACTATCTGCCCCCTCCCGCAACCTTGTATTAGTGCTGCTGCTCCCCACTGAATCTGCATCTTCAGTGGGTGGCAACCCTGGCCCAAGGCCCTAGGGAACTTCTATAGTGGCCAGAGGGAATTTTTCTGCTGTGGCTGAGAATGCTCCTGGAGACACTTAGCTCACCTTCATGTGAGGAGTCACACATGCTCATGGAGCCCACACACCTGGGGTCTGAAGGTGCCACCCTGCCTGCTGGGAAGGGTCTCAGCACAGAGCATATCTGGGTTAGGCCCAGACACACCACTCCCTCCTCATCCAGGTCTCTCCCAGGCTTCTGGTCCCGGTGGGCAAGGATGATCATTCCCCAGGAACTGGTATCCTCCACTCCACTCCCATCACATGCCCTCAGTCTCCATCTGGTCCCCTATCCTGGCTTCCTTTGCCACACACTCCCAAAGAAAAGGAAGGATAACCCCTAAATAAAACAGACAGAAGCAGCTCTGGAAAAGAGTACAAAAAGACAGCCAGTGGTGTGCAGAGAGGGGGAAGAGGCTAGATGATGGCATGCAGCACTGGGGTTCCTTATAGGGGGTGGGGTCGCTTTTACTCCCCAATAGGGGCTGGGGAGGGGGTCAGCCAACTCAGAGGAGCAGGACCTCTGCACTGGGCCTTGAGGCTTGCTTCCTGTATCTCCATGGGCCCACACAGTCACAGGGAAACGAAATCTGTGGCCTGGAGGAGGGAGAGCGAGAGCAGGAGCAGCAACAGCCATGAAGTATTCTGCGCCAGCAGGCTTATGCCTTCACACTTGACCAGTTTGTCTGTGGAGAAAGAATGGGGTGAGGAAGGGCACTGGGAGTCAGGCAGGCACTGGCCCAGAGCATGGATGTTTTCTCTTCGGGGAGCTGGGCCAACGTGGTCTAACAGAACCAACCATATTTCCCACGTGGAGGGTGCTGGCCTCTTGCATGCATACCTTATGAAAATCTCACTAAACAGCAGCACAAGAAAACTAGGGGTGGAGGCAGTGTCACCTCTGTTTCAAAAGTGGAGAAAGGATTGGGGAGGCCAAGGGACTTGCCTGAAGTCATGGTGGAGAGCAGCTACCACACTGCTGTACCTCTCTAATTAGCCCTCAGCTCTTCCCCCTTCATACTGAAAGCACTGGTTCCCCAGGGGACCAGGCAGCAGTTGGGAGAGAGTGAGGGAGTCACGGGGTCTGTCTTTCCTCTGGCCCCACCAAGGGAACTATCTACTGTCCTAGCCAGCTAGGTAGTCCCCAGCCCGGCTCTCCCATCCATTTGGCTTTGTTGGGGATTTGCCTCACCTCTGAGCACAGAGACATTCTTATAGTTGGGGATGGATTGCTGGCCAGAGATGCGCAGTTCACATGTGTAGGTCCCCTCATCCTTGTTGGTGAAGTTGGCTAAGTAGAGAACCTTGAGGTTGTAATTGCCGGTCAGGTTGGTCCGGGAGCGGTATGCATGCTCAGGCACCCCCATAGTGCCAAACAGCACATGCTTCTTTTTCTCACGGGTCAGGCTGAACTCGTACTGGACGGGCAAAGTGGTGGTATTCTCATGGTGGCAGTCCAGACGAAGGGTCTGGTTCACCAGGCAGGCTGTTAGGCTGGTCACCTTCTGCCCTCGGGACACCTGCAAGACTGGCACCAGCAGTGCCCATTCCAATTGGTGGAGAGTGGATGAGGGGCTCCCTACCCATGCTGACAGTAGACATGACTAGGGAGGGCACAGGGGGCTGCTCTTTTCAAGCCTCTTCCCATTCCAGGGATCCTGGAAGCAGAAACTCCTCACCCCAGCACCCCGACCTCTCTCCCTAATCCCCTTGACTCTGGGTTCCATTAGTGAGTTGCAAGGGCAAATGATCTTGGGGAGTTCTGAGTTCCCACTTGGAGGTTCCCATTCACTAGCAAGGGGCAGGGCTCAGTGAATTATTTCCAAAGACCACTCCAGCAGTCAGAAGGTCAGCTGGATGAGTAGCTGTCTTTGGGAGGCAAAAGAGCCCTCTCTCCCCAGCCCACTGTACTTTCTGAGGCTTTGAGGAAGAAGCAAGCTTCTCTGAAGAAAGGGAAGCCAGAGTGCCTAGACGTCAGCCCTGCCCCTTGCTGAGTACCTGCCAACAGGAGGGCGATGCCGATGGCTGGGTTCATGGTGCCAAAAGCTCAGTCCTGGATCTGGGGTAGGGAACAGAGGGGAATTAGCCAAAAGATGGGATGGGTGTGCCCACACTCACACGGTGGCCATCCAAGCCACTCCCCCACCCCCTTCCTCTATTTCTCTTGGAAGGTGACTCGGCCTCTAGCTCTTTCCTCCCTAAGGAGCGCAGGGGAGGGGGGGAACACACCCGAATGCTGAACGTCAGGGCGTCAGTGCTTGGCCATGGAGCACTTCCTAGCTGGATGGCTTTAAGGGATTTATCTTTACCACTCCTTTTCCTCCTGCAAGGGCTTCCTATTTACTTATTTTTGAAAGTTTAATTTGGTAAAATACATATAACATTTACTATCCTAACCACATTTCAGGAATACAGTATTCACATTGCTGTACATCCACTCTCCAGAACTCAATTTTTATCTTTCAGAATGAATGAACTCTATGGTCATTAAACAAAAATTCTTCATTCAAGGAGTTCCTGTTTCTTGTCCAGAAACAAATTTCCAATGCCTAGAGCAGTTCCTGGCATATGGCAGATACTTATTGAAGGAATGAGTGAGGGTCCGTCAACCTTAGATACCATGGGGTTGTGGTGGGGGCTAAGAAAATGCCCAGACTGCTCCACAGTACATGACCCTCAGGTGTTAGTGGCTCAGGATCATGTCAGGTGTGTGTCTGGCTAAGGCTCACAGTTCAGGTGCTCCTAGATGTGTGTGAGGGAAATGACAGTCAGTGCTCTCTGATTGCACAGGCCCGAAGATGCTTCCAAATGTCCAACTTTCAGATTCCTGGAGCTGTGGTTTTCCAGTCTGGCTTCAATAGCCTCCCTTCCTACACTCATCGCCTGTTCTTTTGGTACTTAAAAACATTTTTTTTTCCAGCCTTAAATGGACCAGCCTCTTGGCGACACGGGGCAGGTAGCCTAGCCTGTCCGCAGCAGAGCTCACCCCGGGAGGAGTCGCAGGAAAGGCGCGGGCCCTGCCTGGGCTGCGCACCCGGGTGCACAAGGCTCGCCACTCCAGGAGCCCGGGATCGCTGCGCACGGCCCCGGGCCCGGTCGAAGGCCCTGCGGCTACAGTGAAAGCCCACTCGGTCTCCAACTCAGAAAGATGATCGGAATAGGGAAGTACTACGGGTGGAGGAGCCGGTGGAGCCGCCGCGCAGAGCCAGACCCGAGGCTCCGCAGCCGGGGAGGGTGCCGCGTGGGATCTCGGAGGAGGGGGAGCGGTGAGCAGACCAAGAAAGGGAAGAAATGGGGCCGGGGCCGGAAGAGGATGTGGAGCCAAAGAAGGGGTAGAGACTTAGGAAGGCGCAGGCTATGTATTTCCTTCGCCAGGTGTTCCCGCAGCCTAGACCCAGAGCAGCTCTGCACGGGCGAGCCCCACCCTTATTACTTCCCTATTCTGATCTTCTTTCTCAATTGAGGTCCCCCGCCTCCTCTCTTCCTTTTCAGCTCTCCCCTCCCCCGCCTGCCCGCCTTCCACCCAGTCCCCGCCCGCGGCACTGCGGTTTCCTTACCTTGATGCCCCGCACCCAGCCCTTCATGAGGTCACGGATCTGAGAGCCCCTCCGGCTGGCCACCCTTCGTCCTGTCGCCTATTTTTGTTTTCCATTAAGTTTATTGGGCTCTCGCTTATTTTTGCCCCCTCCCTACTCTTGAGAGCTGGGTATGGGGTCCTCTGGGTGGACTGCAGGGCCAAAGGCCGCCCTCGGTGTCCTTCCTCCAGGCTCTCCTCCAGTGCTGCAGGCACATACGGCTGCCCGCCAGTGGGCGAAAGCCTGGGAGCGGCTGCCCGCAAAGGCGAGGTGAGGGGCGGCCTCTGCCCCTCAGAGCACTGTGTTCCCGCCCGGGCCTGGCATGCAGGTCCCTCCCCTAACTCTGCGCGGCACCTTCCCTTGGAGCCCTCGGACCTTTCCCGAAGCTTCCTGCGTCCTGATCCCCGTCAGGCTCCCCCTCTCACCTGGGCCCCGTCCTCCGCCGCTGCAGCTTCCTCTGGACGCGATGCTGCCTCCTCCAGTTGCTGCACCCTGCACCGAGCCCGCAGTTTTCACTAGGGGTGGGGGAGAGGGGGACGGGGAGGGCCCGGGGCTCAGCCAATGAGAGGCTGAGGGGAGAGGACGGGGGTGGCGGGGGGCCCGGGAGGAGGTGGCTGTGGAGCCCGGGTGCAGGAAGGTGGCCCGCTCCTGCAGAAGGGGGACCTCAGGCAGCCCTGTGGCTGCTGGTCTGGCCTGGGGAGGCAGGCTTTGGGACCCTGGGATCAGGGTGGGGCAGCCCAAAGAACATCAGGCGCCTCTCCGAGCCGAGCCCCCGCAGTGACTGCTGTCCTTTTAAGGGTGTAACCCTTTCTTCGGATCCAGTCATCAGGAGTCTCTAGGAAAACCAGAGCTTAGGCCAGATTTGCCAGGCTTCCGAGCTACCTCCTTCTCCCGAGCCTCCAGTGAGAGGATGTTGGGTTGGAATATCCTGGCCTGTTCCCAAAGGAGGCCGGGAGGATGTATTACAGGGCGGGCAGCCCTGTGGTAGCAGGGCAGGCGAGGAACCAACTTGGTCCTTCCCTGGTCCCCAGTCCTGCCACACCCCTTCAGGGGAACCTGCAGGTGCTTTCTGCTGTGGGTAATCATGTCTCCCCCAGAGTCCAAGCTGGAGCCAGGTTCTTCTCTCTTTCTGAATTATCTGCTTGGTCTTCAGAAGACAGAAGGATTGTTGTCTTCCACCAAGCACTGTGCTGACAAGACATGCATGGTCACATTACCCCTTCAACCCATCCCACCCCCATCCCACTTCATGGCTAGTAAGTGGGAGGGCTAAGGTGGTGGCCTTGGAGCCCATAGTGCTGAGATCCTCTGCTCTGCTGGCTGTAGGCAGGAGGAGAGGGAATGGAATCCTGGGAAAGGAGTGGAGGTGACTAAGTCTAGGAAGATACTGATCTGGGCACCCCTTTTAACCCATCCATTTGAAGTCATCAAGAGTCTCTTTTTTAACAGCCAGTGCTGATGCTTTGTCCCTCTAACCCACAAGTCCAAAGATTTTTTTATTAAACAAAGGTTTATTTGATTGATTTGAGCCTCCTGACTTCTTTGTGAATCCTGATCACAACATCCTGGTGGGGCTGGCCCTGTCTGCCAGTCATCTGCCTGTAGGGTCTCTTATTTCTTCATAGAAGTCATCCCTGGCGCCTCCACTGTAGTTTACAATCCTATAATGGCACAGTTGGAAGCTATCCTTGAGCTTCAAGCAGGAGTTTCACGTCCCTCAGTCTCTTGGGGGGCTATGTAGTCTCATAGCACTTGGAGTGATGGGATGTTGTAAGTGGAAAGAGCCTTATGGATGGTCTGGCCCAAAGGGTGATTTGCTTTGGTAAGACAGGGAAGCTCCCAGGGCACTTTGATGAAAAATGCAGCTGCTCCAGCCCACCTAGGACCTTCTTACTCTAGTACTGGGTCTGCACTATTCACAAGCTTCCCAGGGCCTTTGGGCTAGGGAACCCTGGTGTAACAAGACCGTCTCTCTTCACAGATTGCTTCTCATTGATCATAGGATAATATTAAGGCCCTGAATGCCTTGGCCCCTGGCTGCTGACCTCTTCCACCCTATCTTTCCCATTCATCTCCCTGCTGTATTCTAGGTACACTGCCCTCCTCTCTGTCTCTGCGTGTTCCTTCCTGTTTACAGTGGATCCTTGACTTACAAGCTCAATTAATTCCTGTGGGCTAGTTGCAACTCAGGTTGGTCAGTTGAAGGCTCAGGCTCCTCTACACAGCCTTCAAAGTCTCTCTCCTGTATACAGGCAGATCTCAGTGTCCGTAGAGAAGACATTGGCCTAGGACTTCTCAGTTAATCCCACACAGGAAAGGATGTTGTAATGTTCCTTCCAGAACTCTTAAAGGGTTAAATCTGTATCTGAGACCATCTGGAAGCACAAGTGGCCACCAATTGGGACATAACTCAAGACTTTGTTTTTAACTTAAAATTAAAATTCTGGTTGTACATAATGCAAGTTATTAGTATGTCAGACCAGTCGTAAATCAAGGGTCCACTGTAACAGCTTTCTAATTCCTATGTTATTAGAACATACTTACTTTAGCTTGGGGCCTAACCCTTCTGTCTTTCTTACACACACACACACACACACACAAACACACACACACACTTCTAGGGGATGGAGATGGTTCTTTTTGGGGGGCAGAGCATACTCAGAGGTCCCTTTGCTGCAGAAGATGTCAAGGCTGTGGCTGGCTGAGCCCCTCGATGCTGCATTCCCACTCTGTGACCTGTCTCTCAGTGTTGCTGGGTAGAGGGCCTAGCTGTGCTACTTTGATAAGATTAGGAGGACCTGGCCTACTTTCAGGGTCCCCAGGCACTTTGTCTTCAGGAGTGGGAGGGGAATGTTGTCTGTCAAGTTTAAGTAATTGTGTGTCTGTTAGAGCAAGGTCCCCAATTGGATGGAATTGAAGGCTTAAATGAGACAATCTGAGGTCTGGGCAGGGTCTCAGGGTGGCTAAAAGGAGGAGATCTTAAAACTCTCATTTACTAATGGACAAGGTTGGAGTGCTGAAAGCAGGAATCCAGGTAAGGCAGGGTGTCCTGCCAGACTGTGGCTGCCCTGTCAGTCCCTTAGATTTCTATTCTCCTGCTGCCTCAGCTAGGGACAGATTAGAGTAGAAGTTCCTCTAAAAATGCTCATTTCCTTATACTGACCAGGGGACTACTAGCTATTTATTCTCCACAGTCACTGGTTCCACACAATGTCCCCGCAGAGTGGCAAAGCCACTCCATCATTTTTTTTTTTTTTTGGTACCGGGGATCGAACTTGGGACCTTGTGCTTGCAAGGCAGGTGCGGTGCCACTGAGCTAAATCCCTGCCCCTCACCCCATCATTTTATAGCTAGGATCTCAAGCCCTAAAAGGGAAAGGATTCGTCAAACGTCAGACAAATACTTTGTTATCCCAGCCTGTGACTCTTCCGACTTCGTGTCCTGTGCTTTTAGGTGCCTCCAGTGTGGGTCTTCAGACCTCAGATAAACTGATTTCACTAGTCCCATGTGAACGAAAGAAAAAAAAAGGCCACGTGGGGTGCTCTGAGCATAGTTGTCAGGCTGCCACCTTATTCAGATTCCATCCTCTTCACCCCACTGATGACCTAGGGTTATGGGCATGGCTGGACCCATGACACCCAACCTTGGACAGATGAGATCAATAGCAGTTTATTGGTCACCTACACTCACAGTCCAGAGAAGGATACCACACACTGAATGGCCACGTGGAACTTGCACAGGACCTGTGGGAGACAGGCTTTGTGGTTTAAGAAGCATGGGGTACCCCATTTCCTGCAGGAGGGTGTGTTGATAGTTTAACTAGTTCTGCAGGCCGGAGAGAGAACTGAAGCCCACTACTCAGGCTAAGCAGGAACCCAGCCTTATCCTCACATTAAGCAGGGTGGTTTGACTGGGATCTTTATCAGCAAAGGAGGACGTGGACTTGCCATATCTTTTTGATTTTATCAGATGTCAAGATATTTGAGGCTTCTGCATTCTAACAGATGTCTAGGCAGCACAGAATACTCAACTGTAGTTTTGGACTGAGACTACACACCTGCTTTTCCTATAGTTTCATTCTTGGGTTATACTTTTCCATTTTTTTGAAGTGGTAGAAGTAGATGGTATGTGTGTATGTGCATTTTTAATGTCTTTCCTTGGCAAAAAAGGAAAGAAAATTGACCATTTTCTGTTGATCCTCAAATCTGCTCGAAAGTGTAACTAATCTTTGAAATTCAAAAATCTTGGAAGTACTGCTCAATACTCTGCTGCCTCTGCTACTTCAAGATGAGGTCAGCTCCCAGAGGAATGTGCATGTTTTCTTGGAGAACATGACAAATAAAAAAATAGAGATTATTTCTTACAATGTAGGGCAGAGGTTGAGAGGAAAAAGCACCAGTGTAGATATAATTTAACATCCAACAACTATTTATTTACAAATCTATTCATGGATGTTTATGTAATCAAATAATTAAAAGACATGATTAAAACCAACACTGTCCCAGTCACAGGGCTAGAACCTGGGAACATAAAGATCAACAGAACAGTCTCTGTCCTCAAAGGCATGTCCCCATGGGGGAGGCCAGAATAGCAGGTAGGTAGAGAACAGTAGGGTAAGTGTAGGTAAAGATGTGTATAGGATGCTGTGAACATCCACAGGAGGGGCATGTGATGGCCCAGTCTGGGTGGGAGGCCTTCTTGAAGGAGATGAGGCATGACCTACATGAGTCTTCAAAGATGAGCGTGATTGCCCATGTCAGGCAGATATCACATTAGTGGCTCCCAGTGAATCTTGCCTCCCAGTAGCCAGGCCTGTGTGTGATCCCCTTCCATGCTGATTCTGGGCTTGGCCCTATGTCTTGTTTGGCTATCAGCAAATGTGATATTCACTGAGGCTCACCTTCTTGGAAGGCAATTATTGTGGGAGAAAGCCTGAGCTAGCCGAGTGGATGAGGTTATATCAGTCACTGTTTGGGATCAACCAGCTCCCAGTTGACCTGCCATGTGACAGCAAAAGCGTGTTGATCCCTGATGCCATATAAAACACAAATGAGACACCCCAGGTCAACCTGTGTTGGTTCTAAAACCTGGTGAAGTCTATCTCCTTTTCTTGAATCTCAGTGGGCTTGTGGCTGCTTCAACCAATACAGTATGCAGAAGTGATGCTAAGAGGCTGCATGCAGGCCTTAGAAAGCCGTATAGCATCTACCTGTTCTCTGGAATACTTTCTCTTGGGGCCAGCATGGAAAAAGTCTTACCACCCTGTGTCCACCATGACTGGCTCCAAGTTGTTTCAAGTGAGGAGAATGGCAGCTGGAACAAGGTTGACTTGTGTTTGGTCATGGTGGAACAGGTGGCAGAAACATTGCTGTGGTACTTAGATAATAGAAAATGTCCCTGCTAGAGTTTGGGTATGACTGAGTAAGTTCCACCCCTGCCTGGAGTTCAGGGGCTGGAAGCTTGGTTCCCAGGGTAATGGTATTGAAGGTGGTGGGACTTTAAGAGGTGGGGCCAGTGGAAGGTAATTAGATCCTGGGGGCTCCACCCTCATGAATTGATTAATGCTGAGTCCTGGGAGTGGGTCAGGTTTCAGGGACTAGCCTAGACAGCTCAGTG